CCGCCACACCCGGACCGCCGCCCATGGCTACCCAGCCCGTCGCCGTCGCGGATAAGGACGTCGAGCCGAGCGCAGGTCAGGCCGATGCGGGCCGCGACGTGACGTTTGAGCACCGCCTGTTTGGACCGGATCAGTCGGGTGACAGTGCAGGCGCCGAGCTGCAGCGCAATGCATCCATCTCGTCGGTGGTGAGTGCGCGCATCCGCGGGGATCTGCAGGATGGCACAGCAGATGCGGATGCGCTGGTGGTGCCCGCTGCACACGGGGGCGGCGGCTCGCTGGCTCCCAACACGGCGGCTGTGATCCATCGGTACAGCCGCATGCTGTCGGGCGCCGCACCTCCGCAGACAATTCCGGGCGCATCGCAGCAGGACCTGCAAGACCCACCGCGCAAGCTGCTCGCCACCGACGCCGTGTTCCAGGTGATCAGCGCCACGACGATCAAGGACCGCTACCTGTTCCTCTTCAGCGACCTGCTCGTCATCGCCAAGCCGGTGGCGGCGCCAGGCGCCGAGGCGGGCCAGACGCTGGGCAAGATGAAGGAGGCGGCGGTGCTGCCGTCGCTCTCGTGGCGGTTCGCGGTGAAAAACATCCTGGAGCTGCACCGGCTGCGCGTGAGCGTGACGACGAATACGCGCACGGCGTCGGCCAAGACGCGCGCGCAGAATCCCGTGCTGTGGGGGTTCGTGTCGCACTTTAGCAGGGAGCCGGACTCGGCGGTGCGCGCGCTCGTCGCCAAGACGGGACTGGAGCCGACGCCGGCGTCGATTGCGCAGCTGCTCTACCAGACGCCCGAGCTGGACCGGCAGGACCTGACTGCGTACCTGGGCCACGCGGCGCGGCGCGAGATCCTCAAGGCGTACGTGTCGCAGCACAGGCCGGTGGGCGTGTCGATCGAGTCGGCGCTGCGCAGTCTGCTGCTCGATCTGCGCTTTCCGCACGAGCTCGATGCGTTCGAGGCGCTGCTCGTGCACTTTGCCCAGAGCTGGACGCAGGCGAATGCGGCGATGATCAAGCCCAACTTTACGGCGCAGCTGGCGTCGGACCTGGTGTTTGCCATCATGGCGCTCAACGATGCGCTGCACACGGGCACGCAGGCGGGCGCGGCGTCGGTGACGTCGCCCAACTTCCCGCGGCCCGTGACGGTGGTGACGCCGGGGCTGTTCAGTGCGCCGTGTCCGGAGCTGAGCAAGGCCGACTTTGTGAGTGTCTTTCGGCAGCACGATCCGGAGCACGTGCTGTCGGACCGCACACTCAGCCGCATCTACCTCTCGATCAAGTCCGAGCCGCTCGTGCAGGCGCTCGACCGGTACGAGCCGCGCTTCACCATCCGCGTCAAGGGCGGCAAGCTGCCCACGCGGCTCACGTACGCGCAGCCAGCCGAGCCGGTGACGCTCGTCATTCCCGCACCGGATCCGGATCTGGCCATCAGGCTGTATGCGCCCGATACGACGTTCGAGCCGCCGGTGCTGACGTTCGGTGCGTCGCGCGAGGCGAGCTTCACCATGTGGACCAAGAGTCTGGGTGCCAAGCAGGTGGTGTTTGTGCGGGCCGGACGCAATGCGCGCTTCTACGGGGGGACCGAGGTGGATGTCACGCATGCCGGCGCGGGTGGCGCGGATGCGGGGGTGCGGGAGGATTCGCCGTTGCCGCGTAGCTTTAATGTGGCGGTGGAGCGGGCGTTTATGAAGCACAGTTTTACGCTCACCTCGGTGGGCGAGGCGGGTGGGACGAAGCGGTTTATGCTTAGCTTTGAGGATGGCGAGCGTGTGGCGCGGTGGACGCACGTGATTCGCGAGCAAGTGGCGGCTGCCGAAGCGGCGCGCACACGCTCGGGTGCGGTGGCTACAGCCCGGGCTATGCAGGTGGCCTCGCTCGAGGTTCTGCGCGAGACGCTGATTGGGGTCGAGCCGCGCGCCGGCTTGAGTCGGGCGGCGACGGTGACGGGGGTGGCCAAAGCGGGCATGGGCGACTTGGGTCGTCTGGCGCCCGTGGCGGGGTTGGATAGGACCACGTCGACGAGCCGCCACTACTATGCCTCGAGCGGCGTCGGGCGGCACGAGCGCGAACTGCTTCTGCCTGCACCGCAGAAGCACACCAAGGGCTCTGCCTCGTTGTCCCTCACCCCGATGGCGGTGGGGGTGGGGATGACGAGGAGCAATTCGGCTCGCTCGGCGTCGGCCAACTCGCCGGCGGGAGCGACGCAGCCATTACCGCCAGCGATCCAGGTCGCCGAGCCCGAAACGCGCGCGCCGCAGCTGCACGGCACGGCAATCGTGCGCATCGCAAGGCTCAACTCGCTCCTCCCCAGCGTCGTGCAGCACCATCTCAACGGTCCGTCGCAGTAGGCGCCGCACCATCTCGGCCAGTCATACACGCCACAGCCAGCAATTCTTACATGCAATGGGTTGACGAGCGCACTTGCAACTGTACATGCGGAGGATTCTGAGTGTGTGTGGCATGCGTCGATGCCGCGCGTGGCAAAGTCAAAGGACGAGGCATGGTTCGGATGAGACACAGGCAAGTGGCTAGGATTGCGAATCGCAGGCGCGCAAAGTGGCGACTCAGAAGAAGACGCGGCCAGTGCAGTTCTTGGCGCCGCACGCGCACTGGATCTCGAGGCGCTTGTGCTTGGTGGTGGCGGCGCGCGCGGCGTCTTGGGCCGAGGCCGTGATGGCGACCACCGTGTCGCCGCCCGGCTTGGCCGTAGGCGGGTGCATGGCGGTGCGTGCGCGGCGGCCGGGCTTGGCCGGGCTCTGTGGCGACGAGGCGGGCAGCTCGTCCTGGTCCACGGCAAACGGGTCGCCCGCATAGCTGAAGCAAAGCTCCTCGCCCGGCATCACATCCCGCGAGGCAAAGAAGGCCAGCAGCGGGCGCAGGATCGAGGCGTCGTCGATGTACGTCGGCACGTGCAGCAGGTTGGGGTCGCACGAGTGGTTGAAGAAGCGCGTGTAGTTGCCCATCAGTGCCGAGTCGACCGTGAGGCGCAACTCGTCCTCCATCTTGGAAAGCTCGTTGGCCATCACCACGATCTCGTGCTGCAGACCCGGTTCGTCGAGCGAGAGGAATCGCCACGCAGGATCCGTCAGCTCCTCCTCCTCGTACTCGTCGGGGAAGGTTTTGGTCGGATCGAGCTCGCGCTGGCGCTTGCGCTGGCGCTCAGCCTGGTGGCGCGCGCGCACGAGAGCCGCCTCGCGTTGACGCTCGAATGCGCGCTCGTCCTGACGACGCGCAGGCACGCCATCGCTGCGTCGCTGCTCGGCCTCCTGCAGCTCCGTGTCGCCGCTCGCGACGACGTACTTCCTCATGTACTCGTCGTACTCTCCGATGAGATTGGCAACGCGCGTGACGTACTCGACCATCTTGCGTTCCTTGGCGACGCTGCCGCGATAGTCGTCGAGCTCGCCCGACTCGGCGAGCTTGCGCTCGAGGATCTGGCGCGTGAGATGCACCTTGATAATGTGGTTGTCCACGTCCTGTAGATACGTGGTGCCCAACTCTTTCTCGTAGATTTCGGCGCGTCGTTCGGCCTCTGGGTCCGAAAGGAGCTCGCCGCCGTACGCACCGACGAATGTCCCCCTTTTGAGGTGCTGGAGCGTCTTGATGCCCCAGCCCTTGCTCTCCGTCTTGTGGAAGGCGAGGGCGACCTTGCGACCCTTCTGAACCACACGGTTCTTGCACTCGCTCGAGCAGCTGCAGTTCTTGTTGCACTCAAAGATGGGCTCGCCCGCGGGGACGTCGGGGTAGATGCGGCCGTTGGCATCGTAGATGAAGTTGAAGTCGCCGCCTGCCAGCTTGGACTTGTCGACGCCGTCGTCGCCGTAGAGCATCTTTTGGTAGTAAGCGTCGACGAACGGATAGCATCGGTTCGCCCTGCGGACGCATTCGCACGTGCGAGGATCGCACTCGTCGCCGGGGCAGTTGCATCCGCCGTTGGCGGCGAGCTCGTCGGTGAGCGCGTAGCCGTTCACCTTTGGGAGAGGTGCGATCTGCGATACTTGCTTGAGCGAGGGGTCGATGATGTAGTCGTCGACCCAGACAAAGTCCCATGGCGGAATGACGTCGCTGACGCTCGAGGCGTGTTCGTTGATGACGCCGAGGCCGCGGTTGCCGAGCTCGCGTTCTTGGACGTAGGCGATGAAGAAGTCGAGCAGCCTCATCGCCTCGAGCTCGGGGCGGATCTTGGGCGGATCTTTGGCCAAGCGCACCTGCAGCGCCTGGCCGACGTCGACGGGACGGGTGATGTCGCGGTACAGCTCGGAGCCGCGCAGTGTGGACAGCGCTTTGATCTCTGGACTTGCGAAGGTGAGGGGCGCGCGGACAACTTGGACTACATCGTCGTCGTCGTCGTCGTCGTCGTCGT